TGTGTACACGTAATCAGGAGGGAAGCGGAAAAGGAGTGAGGGTTACTGAAGGCAAGCTTTGGTATCATGTTTTGCAAAGTTACCGACAAATCCCCAGCAGCAATCAACGTATTGGCTGTTCTTGTTAGAGTTGGCAACCAGTTAAGTCGCTCCCTTCCTCAGTTTATGGTTGAATACGTCGAAACTCGGCAGATTTCTTTCAACCGCCATTTCCTTTCGCATTTGAAACTGTTTTCAACGAGCCAAAAAAAAATGTTTCACTACTTGGTGAAATTTTTTTAGTTCAATCGAGTGCCAAGTTTCATATATTACTCGTTTTTTACAAGATACTTTTTGAAATAACACGAGGATTAATTCGAATGAATCAAATTAATAATTATACATTGATAAATAGTTAAAAATTTCATAATAAAATAACAACTTTGAGAGAGTTGGTAAAAGAAAAAAATAAGTTTATTTCTCTCATAATATTTTATGATATGACGACTTTAAACTTTTTTATTATAACTTAAACTTTTGGAAGAACAATTCGTCGGACGAAGGTTTCTGCGAGGTTGAAATTTTTTAGAATATACGGGCAAACATTTTTCAAGAAAGGCGTGAATAACGACCGAAATATTTTTCGCTCTTCTAAACGTGCTCTACGGTTTTCCCACTTTGCTGTTCAGCCAGCCAATCCCTCCCGGCATGCTTTGCCGATCTCCTTTTTCTTTGTTCCTCCAAATGAAAGCATTTTAAAGTCTCAGCATAAAATTTATCCACCCCTTCGGTTAAACAGCTATGCACATCTCTTTCTACTTCACAGGAGTGTGGTAATCTTGATATTTCATCCCCTAATTTCGTTTAGTGCGATATCTCATGGATGAGACGTCATGTAGAGTGAGATTCGTAATTTGTAAATTCAAAACATCTAAATTCGAGAGTAAATCACAAAATGAAAGATAATCTCTACATTATATATTTTTTAAATTTATATATATATATATATATATATATATATATATACACACACACACACACACATTTCAGATGTCGCATAAAAAATAAAAAATTTTATTATTTATTACCTCGGAAATAGTCACCTGGAATATTTTATATTCCGGTGAGAAAATATGAATTATTGTATAATAATATTTTGTATAATGGATATTTGATTAATATATTTTTTCATTTTTAATAACTTTTTACGAACTTTTAAATATGCAATTTTATCGAAAATTCTCAATAAAGAGAAACAATATCGTATTAAAGCATTAATTAAAATTTTTATTTTTTAGAAATACACAATAAGCTACTAACGCGCTTATTCCGCTTGATACTTATTTGATTTTTTCTATTTATACTTTTTAAAAAATTGTGATTAAATTCATATTCATAATATTCTCAAATAATAAATCTGAAAACAATAATATACAGTTTGCTGTTAATGATAGTCATTTTAAATAGAATTAAAACGTACCTCGTTTACGTAAAAAAAAGTGGACCTACTTCTAAATTAAATAACAACTAAGTAAAAAATATTAGAAGTAAAGTATTTTTATTTCCTTTTTTCATGTTTTATACTCTTTGTCATTTTATATTATACTTTTTTATCTCATAAAAAAAAATTAATATTTTCTATGAAAACCTTACAATTGATTTGATAAAAGTGTGTAAGGTACGTAACACACAAATACAGCAAATAGTGTTATAATATTCTATATTTCTTATTTCCATGAAAATATAAGAAATTGAGTTAATTAGGATAGAATGTTTAATTTTATTTCTAAAATTCGGAAGTTCGTCGCTTTTGATTTACCACGTCCGCATTTCGGAACGCGTGCCAATAGAATACATGGAGAGAGAATGATTCTGCTAGGGATAATAGGAAGGTTTGATAGAAGATTTTGAAATGGAAGGGAACCAGACTCGCGTTGGGGTCCGTGTGACAAATAACCGTTAAAAACGCACCGTCGTAACTCCACGCCCTTCCACGCGACGCAAACCCGATATGACAACCTAGCGTGAGAATCGCGGGGGTGACAAAGAGGATGGGGTAGAGATGCCCGGAGGGGTAGTAGCCTGGACGGCAGGGCACTTGATTACATCGCGATAGCAAACATCATGTTGATATAAACTTTGTTTCGGTATGATATGGATACAATGGCTGTCTGGAATTCTGACTGTATACGTGCATCAGTCAGGCACCGTGTAACTTTGCACATTTTGTACTTTGTGATAACAGATCAGCGTGATGCGATTATGTGTAAACTTGATACGTTTAGTAGATGATTTGATTTGTATTAGGACGTTGAGATGCATTAGTCTTGCATATTTGAAAGAAAGCTGATATATCATATTTTTTTGACAGTTTGAAATTTTGGAAGAAAGGTTATATATCTTTTGTTTTCTATTATATTAGATTATATACCTTTTCTAGTATATTCTATGTACTTCTCCTAAATTGTAAACTCTATTTATTTATGATTTTACCTGTGAGTTTGTCATATTGAATTCTTTATTAATTTTAGCAAAAACTATTATGTTAATGATAGTTATCAGAAAATTTTTTCAAAGAAGTTATGTTGGGAGAATATAAAAACAAAATAATAGTGTTTTTTACTATTAGGCAGAACTGGTGCGCATTAAAGCGGTTGTACATTAACCTAATCTGAATGTAAAAGTGAGATATCTCAATTAATAAAATACCCAATGTATATTTTATCAAATAGCACAATAAAATGCATTGAGAATTTCGAGATTTAATTCGTTTATATATTTTTATTAAACGTACATCTTTACGTCGATTTGTGTGCGACGGTTTTTAAAGTACACTGAGTGCGCATCCAGTGAAAAATCTGCCAGTGAAAAACGCTATAATATATACATTTTTTATACTTGGCCATTGGTTAATTGTACTTTTGAGGCAATCGATCCAAGTCGAATGCGGAAGGATAAGCCGATAGCAAAAGTCGTAATATTATGGATATTTATGCACTTGGGCACGCACCGTATGCGAGCAAAAATAGAGTAAAAGGAGTCTGCTTACGGCCGAGAAGAGAGGTTGGTTTAGGTTGGATACCGGTGGCAGAGGTGAAACGGGAGGGTTTTTACGAGGCAGTAATGGCCGATAAGGTGAGCTTGCGCCCCCACTGTCGGGGCTTACTCCGCTACTGTACCCAAGTGACTGTTCAACAGTACCTATTCGCTGTCGTATACTCCCTTACTTTCTCTCGGAACGACTCATGCCACGCTTTATTTTAAGCCGTTTACACATTTCCTTTATCGGCACGAGTCTCGTTTATATCCGCCGCGTTTGATATTCGCAGTCCCAAAGCGCTGCGGGATATCAGAAATTCGTTAGAATGCTCTTTTAATAAGTATCTTAAGTAGCAGCTCATAAAGATAACATAACTTGTTTTAAAACAAGATAAGCAGCAAGAATGAAATGACGTATCGACTGAATCTACATTCAATTTCCATCAAAATATCTCACTAATGTATATATTTCTCTTGTTATTTTTAAATAAAAAATTTAATATGTTTTTATTAATTAATTTTTTTATTTTTAATACTTTGACAACAACGTTTATGCGAAGATTATTTACGTATTATTATCATTAGCGAAATAATGGAATTCTTTTAACGCGCCATTTTGCCCAAAGCGAGGTTCGAGTATATTTATAGTAGGAGTGAATTAACATATTTCTGAAGAATGTCATCATCTCATACCCTGTTTTGCTTGTAATTCTTACGGATAGATACAGCATGAGAAAAGAACAAAAAGAGTTCACCGCAATCCTTGTTTGTTGTTCGCAGGGGCGAACGGAATGCGCAGGCGCGGCCGACAGACCTACACGCGCTATCAAACTCTGGAACTGGAGAAGGAATTCCACACGAACCACTATCTCACCAGGCGGAGGCGAATCGAGATGGCACACGCGCTTTGCCTGACAGAACGGCAAATCAAGATTTGGTTCCAGAATCGGCGAATGAAGTTGAAGAAGGAGATTCAGGCGATCAAAGAGCTAAACGAGCAGGAGAAGCAAGCGCAGGCGCAAAAGGCGGCAGCGGCAGCGGCAGCGGTTGCGCATCAGCAGCAAGGAGGCGGTGGGGGACCAGAAGGGGGCAACTAGGGGTACGCCCTGCATCGGAGCCCCCCTGACCACCCCACCGCCAATCCACACCACCCTCTACTAGCACCGCAATGTACACAGCTGTATTAAAGGTAAGTGTGATTTTTCTGATAATTTATACTTCCGCTTCTTCTTGAGAGCTCTGATTAAATCGCCAGCCCGTAATATCTCTTGAGAAAAAAAAAAAAGATTTATCAATCTTTTTAAAGCATTTCAGTATCTACATACATACATATATTTATTAAATGTGTACACTGAAAAAAAAATTTGTCGAACTAACTAAACACATTTAGTTATTTGCAGATTTGGTTAATTCAACAAATTCGATTAAATAAAATTTGTTGAATTAACCAAATATCTAAACAACTAAATGTGTTTAGTTAGTTGAACAAATTTTGTTTAGTGTGCATATTACGTTTCTTTGTATTTATATTCTTAATAATGATATGATAAAAAAGACATCTTTATATCTACAAAATTGTTTGCTACTAAAAACATATATGTAAATTCAAATAACTATAATTTTATTAATCCTTCATCCGAGCAACTACGATTTTTAAAGATTACACTATCAATAGTTTGATTGTAAATTTTGGTAAATAAATTTAAACTTGTAAAAATAAATAAAATGTAATTCGATTTCTATGATGGTAAAAATTCGTTAAAACTTTGATAAATGTATCAGAATTTTTTCAGATATTTATATAATCCGAAGTAATAAAAAATTTGTTTTATTTTTCAAACATTCCTGTTGTTGAAAGAGTTAAAATTTATATTGCCAAGAGTTAATAATTGTTATAATATTTATTCTTATCATTTTTTTATATACTTATGAGTACATATATATTTTTCGGCAATATTAGAATATAAAATAATTGCACTCTTTGTGGACTAACAAAGTGGACGTATCCATTTGATGCAACAGTTAGGATTATGTGATATGCATTAAAAAAACGGTAGTCATATAAACGTTAAAAGCGGCGTTAAAAATGAGATTCGAGCTTTTAGCAGCAGCGGCTTTAAAATTAAGTTTACTCGGCGGGCTTAATGAGGATAAACCGCATACAAGCGTGCTTTCATAATTTTCTAAGTTATGCTATTCGCGTGTGTTTAACTTGCGCTGAACGTGCATCCCGAGGGAGCGACGAACGCAAACTTGAAATATCGTGTCGCGTTTTTCCTATCGTTTCTGCCAGTATCAAATAAAAAACTTATCAGTTTTATCGCGCTGTGTTTGCTTCCCTTGCTTTAAACGGTCTTGGTATGGAGTAAAATTACAACGTTTTGTATTGTTAATTTTCTAGTTGCAAAATCGAAAACTGTCAAAGCACGTAAATTTAAAAAAAAAAAAGAGAGAAAATCACTTATAAATTAGGAACGATAGATTGTATGAAGCAAGTGGATGACGCAAAGAAGAAAGTATAGAAAGCGCAGTTAGGTAAAAAAACTTGGACAATAGTACCAATTTCACTGCTCTATCACAAAAAATTTGCTGTTATTTATATTTCTACTTGAGAGCCAACCATCCATTGTAAAAAAATAGAGGATCTTTTAAATTGGTCGGTCCGGACAATATCAACTGTAAAAAAAGGTTTCCGCTTTTTTCTTTCACACTTTCACGTGAATCTTTGTCGCTGTTGGAAGATATTTACGATTCTTCGCATATTTGAGCTAAAAAACAGGCCTTAGAAACTCACACTAACTTTAAAAGTAGCATGCAATTTTGATTGTCAATTATGTTGTGCACGTATATTTTCTTTCTTACAAACACGAACATTTTTTACCGACTGCAACTTACAATATCTATTGTGTTTTGAAATTTTCAAGTTGTTTTAAGTTATTATAAAAAAAGGCAGAGCTTTTTAAAAATAAATTTTTTTAACGTAATATACATAGGTAAAAAACATTAAATATTGTAAAAACACTACTGTAAAAAAATTACGCAAACTTTAATTTATTACATATACGTTCTCAAAATATTTAATACGTCTGCGGCAGAAAAGAAATACGCCAGGCAGAGAACTATGATCGAAACTCCTTATTCTTCGGAACCCACTGGAGCGCTTAATATCTCTTTTTTGGTATCTTCGGGCGACGAAGAAGTTCGGGCATAAATTTTGTCCCGATTGCACGTAATATTACGCCAGCGAAGCGATTCCCCGATTAACTTCGTGGATTGCACCGTAATTGTACGCCACTTGAAATGCGATTAAATAACTCTTCGCTGGTAATATTTATTTAATCGTGCTTATTTAATCGCCCATATCAGAGTAATCATAGTCTTGAAATATTATAGAATCGTTATCGATTTCTGCCACAATCATAGAAATATAATAAATGATTTGCTTAACGAAAATTTATATTTAAAAATATATTTTATCTATTACTGATTTTATTATTCATTATATTTTTATATCTTTTTTGTTATATATATATTTTTTATTTTCTATTTTTCATAATTAATACATTTAATAAATAAAGTAGATAGAGAAACAAGTTTGCTACTTTATAAAGAATTTTGTAAAAGGAGGTAAATCGTTCTGAATTCCACATCCATTATCCGAAAAAGAATGAAATGTAGATTTGCTTCTGTGAGTCGATCTAGATATATGGGAAGATAAATTTTAATAGAGGACATGAAAAAGCAATTTAGGAGAATTTTAATGGTCAATGTATGAGACAGTCGCGACGATATCGAATGATTAATTTATTTATGCTATCAAGTTACGATTCCCATGAATATTCTTACTAAATTTAAAATGTTAAAAAAATGCAATATTTTATATTTTTATTTGTATCTACTACATTTATAAAAAAAGAAAATGTTACTCTACAAATAATCTAATTAAATATTTTATATAAGAAATGATGTTATAATATAAATATTTAATATGTTTATATTTATATATTTCATATGTATATGTATATACGTATAATATACATGCCGTATTGCGCATGATAAACATGTTTCTAAACAGAAATGAGTAAGTTATTTATAATCAAGAACATTTCTGATTACAACACTTACAATTAGGAGTTACGATTATACTCAAGATCATTCTTTCGATTTATATTAATTAATCATTTTTTTGATCAAATTTATATCAACATTGAATACTCTTTAAATCTTCAATTGTTATCATTTTTATATTTTATAGAGTAAGGTGGTTAATAATAATTTCGAATATGGTACAATTCTGAATGACATAAAAATTTAAATTTTATTTTTGAAGTTCAAGTTTGTGTGTGATCCTTTCCTGTTTGACGTCCTTCATTATTCTACATAAGAGAGATCAGAGCTACCAAACTTGAACCTCGAAGATTAGATTATTTTATTTTGTTCAAAATTATATCATGTTCGAAATTGTATCACCTTATCCTCCCTAACATGCATAATAATGTATGAATACCAATAGCAATGCCATCTATCGGTTTCAATAGTTTCTGGGTTAAGTTATGGCTGCTTTCATCCTTCCATTTGTGGGCGTGGTTAAGGCGTGGATATCTATTTTTTAGCGTTGGTTTATCATGTACTATAAAAATTTATTGCTGTTTAATGACACAAAATTATTAAACTATACATTGGCTATATTAATTATTAGCAAATGTGTACTTAAAGTACACGAAATACGGAAAATAACATTCAAAATTTGAATTGCTCCATGTACTACTCCGCCAGGCACTTGTTTTATCCATCTAAACTACTCTGATGGTAGGTGGCAGCACGAATCGGCATTACTCTGTCGATAACGTTTTGTCTTTCTTACCGACTTCTCTGTCGGTACATAACTTAATTTAGAGGTTGCCTCTACCCACCAAGCAGGATATATTGAACGGTAGTTCGATGATCGCCCGTAATGCGCTTTATGGTTTGTTTTTATCGACGTGGTTATATAGTAACTCACGACCTTCCTGTTTCTCGGCGTGGTGAGTCGAATCGGGCACGATGCGGCCGTGTGCGCGCATGCTGGTATTGGTGTCCTATAAAACGCGCGCCGTGCTGAGTCGGCAGTGCTATTCACATTTTCCCCGCGAATGCATTCCCGAAGCTATCGGTCAATAATCCAATAAACCCGCGATTCGCAGTCCCATGAAGAGAAAATAAAGTACGACGCCGCGTGATTTTATTGCGTAGTAAAGCGTGATTTCGACAGATCGATGCGCGATCACTATCGCCTCTTCGCGCACGCGTTTACTTACTCGCTCGCCAAACGGGTAGGTCAGGGATCTTTATTGGCTGTAAAGGAAGACGTTTTACGATCCATAAAAGCGTTTATAGCGTTCAAGTAGTCTTACCTCGATTCTTACATCCCGGTTATATCCATTACCCCTTCTGCGATCTTTCCAAGGGCGGCCACTGGCACGCGTTTCTTTCTCTCTCTCTCTCTCTCACACACTCATGCCTTTGAGATTTACAGGTTACGCTCCCGGTAACACCTCGTAAACTTGGCTTAACGACTTTAACCGGGCCTAACTGCTTCCTTCCTGCAATCAGACCCTGACCTACCTTGCACACTGTCGTCCTAGAAAAATTCCAAGATATCAATTGCACGTGGCATTGCTTTGCGATCTTATCGAAAAACTTTATCATGTTTCTTTACTGGAGTATAATGATATAAAAACAGCACTTTCATTCTACAATTATTTGCAATATACATATAATTTTTTTTTATCAGCATTTTTAGCAAAGTTATATATTTCTTGTACTTTTATTACGACAAAATTATTGTGATTTGTAATTATACATATAATCAGAATTTTTTTACTCACAATAATTATTGATAATTGTTATTGGTAATTACAGTGAGCAAAATATACGATAAATAATTTGTACTATTATATTTTTAGAATGTGCTAGTATTTCTTTCATTTTATCGCCACGTTGACAGAAAATTAGTAATAAATATCTAGTAGTAAAGTATTTTATTTTTCTAGTAATGTAAAGTACGTTTTATAATTGTTAATAAAAATAACACTAAATATATGGGTACATTGACAAT